TGAGCCTCATGATTACCCACTAATCAATGGGCCATCTAGAACAGTCATCAGCAAAGTTACCATATTCTTGAGTTAACAATTACTAACCAGCACATTTAATTACAAAATTAATAAATATAGCAATCAGTTACTTTACTTCATAATATCCAGTTGCTGCAAGCTTATTCTTCAATCTTCTTTCAATCTACAAAGAATTCTTAATCAAGAAAATTAATTGTCTGTCTAGAAGTCCTATCTCTATATGAACCTCCGTTTTATCAGTCTTCCACCTCAGTTATTTACAGTGTATAACTTCTGTTCACAGTTTACTGAATTATGTTTTCTCACCATTTCGTTGGTAGTACTTGGAATTGTGTGTCCAGCGAAATCCTGTGCAGAGGCCAAAATCAGTGAGTTTGATGTGTCCATCACGGTCTATAAGAATGTTATCCGGCTTAATGTCTCGATGGATGAACCCCATTTTATGAACACTTTCTACAGCACAAGTCAACTCAGCTATGTAGAACCTAGGCAATGATGATGATGTCAGATATGAACATATTAAGGCACACCAACACCACACTAAATCAGTAACTATACAGCCATACATACATGACTCAAATACTGTTTACATTGTTTATATAATGTAATAATTTAGTGCTTAAAGGATGATAATAGCAATTTACTTGCAGACCCAATCAAAATTTTGAATAGGTGGAAACATTTCTTTAATCTCTTAAATGTTCATGGGACTGATGAGATTAGACAGATTAAAATACATACAGCTGCAGTGTTAGTGCCAGAACCTAGTTTAGATGAAGTTTAACTAGCCATTGGAAAGTTTAAAAGTTATAAATACTCCAGATATCGATTCCGTACATGAGTGGTGTAATGATAACAATATGGAACTTAACATTGATAAAACCAAAATTATATCGTTCACAAGTAAAACCAACAGTATCCATTTAAATTACATTGTTAGTGACTTTTTAATCTTGCGTACTGATTGTATAAATGATCTTGGTGTTTTGTTAGACAGTAAACTGTATTTTCACTGTCATGTAAATTGTGTTCATTCCCAGGCACTAAGGACCTTAGGGCTTATTCGTTTTATTACTTATAATTTTTCCTCTCTAGACAGCCTTGTTGTTTTATATAATGCTTTAATTAGGTCAAAGCTTGAGTATGCCTCGGTCGTTTGGAATAATCTTACACAGACAGATTCTAATAAATTAGAAAATATTCAAAGAAAATTTGCCAGTTTATGCAATTACCGATTTTTCCAGTTTAATATCCCCCGAAAATATGAACTGATCCTATCTACTTTAAATTTTAGAACACTTTATTCCAGACGACGACATCTCAATGCGTTATTTCTTATTAATGTATTTAAGGGCAAAATAAATTGCCATCCCATTATGGACGCTGTTGGTTTACGTGTGCCGGCGAGGCAAATAAGAGAATTTTCTACTTTTAGTGTGAGCAGGGCACTAAGGCATAGTCCTTCAGCCAGGTGCGTCATCGCTGCAAATGACGTATGTAAATCTTTGGACGTATTTAGCACAAACAAAGTTGCATATAAAGATCCAAAAGCTTATTCAGTTAATTTGGAACAAGGAAGAGATGCCACAAGAATGGAAGGAATCCATAATTATTCCTATTCATCAGAAGGGGGAAAAGACAGGGTGGTAATTACCGAGAAATTTCTCTACTATCAAGCTCGTACAAAATTCTATCAAACATTCTTCTGGTGAGATTAAGTCCATACATGAATGAAATTATAGGGGATCATCAGTGTGGGTTCAGAAAGATCAATAATTATCAGATCTTCTGCATCCATCAGATACTAGAGAAAAAATGGGAGTACAGTGGGACCTTACATCAATTGCTTATAGATTTCAAAACTCCAGAATTATCAAATAAAGAGAACAGGCCCAGGACACCAGAAAAGGAGATGAAGCCAGAAAAAAGACACTGCCATATGATGGATATGTTAGGATCAGAATGAAACTTCATGGTTATTACCTATAGAACAGTGATCTGTTACCTTCAAACATTTTATAAATTACCCATAGATCTGCAGGCATATTTAAAATGCTCTGTTCCTTACTTTAGTCATATCTTGTATGAACATCAACTGTAGTAACACAAAAATAAAATTCACTGTATTTAGGTGCAATACAGGCAAACAAAAACTCAAACATGCTGAATACTATCCTCAATCTATGATTGTATTCACTACAGGTCATTTTACATGAATATCCAGTATTTTTTAAATTGTTTGTGTTGGCCACAAACTGACTTATACGTATAATGACTTACACAACACACATTTTGTATGATTCAAATTGCTGAAGCACACATTACCTTCTGTGAGATACCTTTTTCTAACAGTCACAATGCCAAGTGTGGTACTGGAGTATGCAATGTGCTATATACGATCAGTAACATTTCCTCACTGTATCACTACAGATAATTAAAAAAATGTATGTCCACTTACCTTCAATAATGTATGAAGATGATTCATTTACTCAGAATGACAACACTATATTCCAACATTCTATTATTAAAGAAATAAATCATTTAATAAGAACTATTTTCACCAGCACTGTCAGAAACACATACCTCGCAAGTGGTTCTTCAAAGACTCCTAACTTGATTAGAAGTGACATAAGATCTCCTCCGGGGATATAGTCCATAACAAAGTACAAGTTGTCTTTGTCTTGGAAGGAATAGTAGAGTTTGACAACCCACTCATTATCAGCCTCTGCAAGAATGTCTCTTTCTGCTTTCACATGAGCCACTTGATTCCTTTTAAGAACATCTACCTTGCGCAGAGTCTTCATTGCGTAAAGATGATTCGTGTCGATCTTCCGCACGAGCGCAACTTCCCCAAAAGCGCCTACGCCAATGGGCTTGATTTTAGTAAACATCGATTTGTCCATTTTAGCTCGTTTGAGACGAATGTAATTTGATTCTTTCTGTGAAAGCATCTTGCGCATCTGGCACTGCGCTTCCGAACTAAGACCAATTTTTGCCATTTCTGTCTCGAGTTGCATACGTCTAAACACACGCTGCTTGTGCGATTTTATAACGTTTTCTATGTGTTGTTCCATAAAAAATTTGAAAGCTTGTGGTGAATAGTTACGTACTTTGCAGTCTCTTCTTTCTTCTTCTTTCTCTTTGCTCATACGTTTCCTTTCTGGAATTGGGGATTGGTGATTTATTTTATATGATGGTGGGGTAGGCCCTGGGTGACTTGGTCTCCTATCACCACCATTCTGTGTTGGGACTTGATTATTCTTATTTTTATTTGCCACAGATGAAGAAGCCATGGGAGGAAGAGGAGGTGTCTGCTGCGGTACTCCAATAGTGTTTTCAGATGATGATGCATACACACCAGGCACAGGTGATTGGGGAACTGTCCTACTATCAGCTGAGGACGTTGAAACTGGACTCTCAGAACGGGAGGTCACAGTATCTACGGCGACTACAGGCGAGTACTTCCTCTGCAGTGGAGGATGAAGGTGGGAAGTTGCTGCTGCTTGAATAACAGGGGATGGTCTTGGTGCAACTGCACTTTCAACTGTAGCCACCTGAGCACTGCCTAACATTTGAGGAATTCCATCTTCTCCCATTGGTCCATATGGTGGAGGGGGTAAAGGATGATGAAGATGTACAGCTGGTGTGATTATGCCTCTCTGCACAGCCAAGGCTTGCATAGTACTGGCATAGCTAGGAGGGTCTGTTGTCGGAACAGTCACTGGACTTGAAGTAGTTACTGGTGACACTGAAGCTTGCTGGGGCAAAACAGGAGATGGCGCTTGTTTCTGATATGGTGGTGCCTGAGCTTGCTGTTTTTGTTGGATCGAAGATGCGTACGATGGAGGTGGAGGTTGAGGTTGAGGGGATGACTGGGTTGAGGCTGTGACTGAGGGTTGTACAGGTTGAGGTGCAGTTGGTGCAATGGCTGTTTGTAAAACAGGTTTCTGAACTTGGGTACTTTTAACAGACTGCATGATGATTGGAGGCTGAGTTTTCGCTTGGCGTGCACCCCAAGCTTGCAGGGGTGTTGGTCGAGCAACAGAAGTGGGAGTAGGACTTGCAACAGATACAGTTATTGGGCTTGGTGAACCTGCTGAAGTTGGGCCAGAGTATATCCCAGAGGAAGGGCTCTTTCGATAATCTTGCTGTGATTGTGTGGGACTTTGGCGACTCTGAATAGAAGCTGTGTATGAAGGCGGCGGAGGAGGAACTGTGGGTGAGGACGGAACAAGGGGATAAGGAGGTGGAGGTTCTGAGGAAGTGGAACTAGCTACACTATTGCTCTGATACAAGTTAAGAGCCTGCATCTGTTGTGATAATTGCTGCTGAACTTGAGGGCCATTCTGCACTATCATGGGTTGACGTCCAGATGAAGAGTTTCCTATACTGGTACCAGAAGAAGCAACTGGGCTTGTACCACGCTGGGCAGGTTGTGGGCAACTTTGGTTGGTCCCTGAACCTCCTGGGAGAGCTGCTGGGGGCCGTGATGGAACTACAGGTGCAGGAGACATGCGCTTCAACAGTTGTTGCATATTGGTGGTGACTGTTGGATAAGATGCATGAGGTGGTGGAGGGGGAGGGGGAGTAGAGCTACATCGAGGTGGGGGAGGAGGTGGGGGTTCTGCAAAACTGCTTGGGGAGTACTGCCGACTGAGCTGAGGATGTGTAACGAGGTCTGCCAGGCGAGGACTATCAGATCGTGAACTTCCAGCACCACTATCCAATGCCGGACTGCCACGATGCAAACTCAACTCTCGTTCCAAGCTTGGCTTACGTATAAGTTTTGTGCTCAGTGCTGGCAAGCCTGCAAAATACAAATTTTAATCCATCAAGCAGTCAGTTCAAATTTCAGTAGCATACCACATATCATTATAGAACCATCTACATACCCATAGTAACACTCAATAGAGAAATAAAACAGAGTGGGAGAAAAGTATATATTTCTAATTCTTGAAAACTAATGCTGAAAATGCTAATACGTACACACTACCACAAAAAAAATGGCATGATAACTCAACACATTCTTTAGCGCAGTCATCTAATAAAAGTAACCAATTCTGCAGATACTAGCAACAATATATTTCTTCATCATGAAAATCAAAACCTTTCACAAATTTTAGAAAGAAAGAAATAAATAAAGAAAGGAGAAATCTGAACCATACTCTGTTTAACAAGTAGAAGGGTCAGTACAAAACTAATGTGTCCTTCCTTATATCTAGTAACATAGCTTAGAAAGGTGTTCATGACAGGTCTCAATATGGAATACCTGCAACAGGAATGACATCAGAATACAGGTAGCCCTCGATTTACACCCGGGATGCGTTCCTGGACGAACCGGCGTAAACGGAATCGGCGTAAATTGAAACTCTTTAATAATGTAAATCAATGGGAAGTCAATGACATGCGTTCCCAGCACCCAAACATTGACGAGTAATATAATGGCATTACATTTAAAGCTCTGAAATAACGTAAATAAAAATAATCGCGTTACCTCCGCAGAGATTAAATTAGTCCTTTGAAAGTTTAAAGCGCCAGGAATGAAATTGCATACGAGCAAACTTGCATATACAAAAGTTTGCATTTCACAAACATCGGTTACCGATTCATCGATCTCATTGGAGCAAATTTGCGTTAACGAAACATACGTAATTGCAGAGATGACTATTTATAATTTTTATTCAAAATCAGCAGTGTAAGAATTATGATTTAGTATAAGAATCAGTACAAGATACATTGTAAAACGTTATAAATAATAGTAATTTCTGGTTTCAAAATCGGCGTTATTCTGAATTGGCGCAAATCGAGGGCTACTTGTAGTTAGAAATATTTCAAATGTGGAATATATGTGGGTGGTAGGACTGTATTAATGATTCTTAAAAGGTTTACAACAACAATTGATCAAATATATTGCATGTGTGTTGGACATTGTTTGCTGTATAGGATCATTATACATTATGTTAAGTGTGTTGCCTCTGCTATCATCTTCTAATTATTTGTTGACTGTTTACTGGGATTTGTTCAATAAAACAATTAATATATATCCAGTATTAATGACAGTGTTTGATACTGATGCCAGGATTCAATGATAACTTCGGCTACCTGTACAGGATAGATGCATGTACTCATTAAACTTGATCACTGTATTACAACATGGCAGCTTAGTGAGGCTGTGTGTATTTTGGGGGGGGGAAGGGTGTCCAACTTGTGAAATTCATAACGAACTCAGTGCAGTACATTTGAGACTCAACCACTAATTGCCTGGATCTTGCACCCTTTGGCCAATGAAAGGATGGATTATTTGGGCAATAGTAAAAAGTTGCCATTGGCATGATCAAGGTGAGTTTGACAACACATGTATGCGGTGCCAGGTTCAATGTTAGCAAAAGTAAAATGCAATTGATAGGGACTTCATAGATAAGCAGCCTTATGTTTGTTAAATTTATAAGAAATTTCAAAACAAAAGTAATTTAACTGGGATTATACTTTTGAAGAAAATCATTAGAAAGCATTAAATAGCGGCCTTTGTAATTTCCCACATTCCACAGAAAATTATCAATGGAATGTTTAAACAGTGTGGTTGATAACTTTATCTACAAAAACAAATTCTTCATTTTTAGTTATCACAAAACCAGGGCTCAGTTACTGATTAATGATTACTTCATAATGTGTAAATAATCAGTTTTCTCGTAAACCTCACATCTTGAAATATAATAATTTTCTCCTTAAAGTTACTTTCCCTTGTAACCTACCGGCCTAAAGACAAAATTATAACATCACGTTCTTCAAGCCTGTAACTAACGGTTTGTCTGAATACTTACCTAACTTTGTAAATAAGAGGAAACATGCACTTTAAAAAGTTCTAATATTCAAGTACTAAAGCCAAATTTATATTAAGTATTAACATATGATTAAATGAAATGCATTCATGTGAACAGAAAGTCATAATCTCTTATCAAGTGTAATTATTAATTTTGGAGAATGGTGAATATGCTTACAATATTCAACACAAAAAGAAATCAGAAAGTCAAAATTTTAAATGTCTGAAAAAGTTGCATGTTGAAGCCAACACAAATATCATGAGACACAAACCGTCTGTTGATTGATTATACGAGGTGCGATCGAAAGGTTTCCAGACTGCGCGTATAAAAACCCGTACACTTATCTCAGGTATTAAATTCATCCATCACCCTCGAAGTAGTTCCCCTGGGAGTGAACACAACGATCCCAGCGCCGCTGCCAAGCCTGGAAGCATCCCTGGAAATCTTTCTTTGCCAGCCTGTCAAGCACCATCTGCGATTCTGCCTAAATCTCTTCTATTGTCTCAAATCTCCTTCCCTTTAGCTGAATGTTCATCATTGGGAAGAGGAAGAAGTCACACGGAGCTAA